CTGTTACCAATTCAATGTAACATCACATAGCCTACAGCACGCGGATAACTAAGACGCTTCTAATCATTCCACATTTTTACAGTTACTATGAGTAGTTTCAATGTTATAAAGGAACTGATGAACATTCTTACATACATACCGGCCAAAATCATAACCCTCGTTTCGTTTCGCCGTAGTAGAGTAAAATGGCGATATCGTGGCGTAGTGAATAGTATGCCAATAAAATATAGAAACAGCACCACAATATCTGGATACGGAACAATAGAAATGCAAATATCGATTACGAGCGCAGACATCATTGTGCCCTGGCGGGAAGCCATCCTCCATCCCCATGAAGGGGATCATAATATCATGTGTTTTGAGTTACACACATAACAGATTCAATTCTATGATCACCTAACCATAAAGAGCATAGGCCATTAGATTGTTAAATAGACGATTCATTTATTATTAACTAGAGTTGAATTAAAACTAGTAAACTATTTCTACAAATCAATGCAGTAGACATAAGCTCACTAAAAACATCAACAGTAACAAATAATAAATTTATGGCAAATTTCCAATACTATACTTTAAATCAGTTCTGTAATGAGAATCAACAAGATGTTGTTTTCAACTCTTTAAGCCTTTGGCACATGCCTTTTCTCATCATTGTGTTAATAAGTAGAATGACCAACTTCTATTATAGCTCTGATAGTCCTTACAACATAGCAAGTAAAATATCGTTCAAATAATTATAAGAGAATTGTGTGATTGATAGTTGTATAAACGTTTTGGAAATTACTACCTGACAAGTACAAAAGCAATGTTTGTATTTTTTACTTTTTGTTTCATGTTGTAATACTTAGTTTGAAGACATTCCACAGAACTTATTGGAACAAAAATCCTATTGATATTATAAATGTGAACGTTTCTTTGGATGTTTGTCCGTCAATCACTCCGCAACTACTGAACGGATTTTAATGAAATTTTGGTATACAGATAAGGTATTAACTGACTTAGATAATAGGATACTTTTTATCCCACTAAACATTTCCCTAGGGACTACGCGGGCGAAGCCGCTGGCGAAAGCTAGTATACAATATATCACACGAACCGGTTACTTGTTCATTCGTTTTGGTGACCCAAAACACTTCGTGACGAGTATCGCTTAAAATATACGCTATATGACACGCAAACGTAATACACGATCGGTTTGTTGTACGCTCTATAGCAACTACGTGTTACAAATTTCGTGACATTCGAGTGGTAAATTACGCAATCTAGGCAATTTAATAATCTGTATAGCAAATTTCGTTTCAACAGTGCTTTTCTGTAGGCGAATTACTTGTCCATTATAGACTAAATCTTATTTCCCACAGTCACGACAATATCAATGTCTTATTACCTGGACCTGAAAATAATACCACTGTTGGTATAAAATTACAGTGAATACAACAGTAATTTTGCTAAATTGACAATAATAAAAGTTTTTGTTTATAAAAGCAACGCTTTCTGATTTTGTAAGGTAAGTTAATCTGGTGGTGAGCAACTAAGTGCGTTATACATTGTAGCAGTGGCAAGTTAAAAGTACACCGATGCCCAAAGACATTTCAAAATTAAAAATATTTCGAAAAATATATACAAAAGCTTAATTTCTAATGAAGCAGACGTCCTTCATTATGGACGTTGTTATCAACCTCATTCAAAACTTTCTTTACAGCGCAATACCACTCAGTGAGCGTATACAGCCCTTAATGGAGTCCATTACGAGAGATCCCTATCCTCACAAAGCCTCTAGAGATAAACAGGCATATGCTCGGGTCAAAGACAATGATTGATGCCGTCGGTTCGTGGATGGACTGACAGGATAAAGCACCATGTATCACACAAGGTTCACCTTTTAACGAAAGTTTGTATTTAAAATGCATTGGAGAGATAAGCAAATTAGAATAGGAAAACTTAAACCACAATCCGTCGCAAAATCCATATAAAGAGTTACTGACACATAAAACCACAATATTTTGACTTTCGATGAGTAACTACACCGTCGACATAAAGAATTTTGCGTCGATGGTCGCTATACACCTAATACAGACACACTGGCTATCGGTTTTCATAAAAGTAATAAATGGGAAATGGAACATGAGCAAACCATTATAGGCACAGAACATAGAGAGAGAATAGAAGTAGTAAGTGGGCGGGGCACGCGTCGCTGGCATATGCGCTTTTACTCATATGACGCCCTTTCCTCGGTTTTATGTTTGCCAGTCGTTCGTCAAACGTCGAGTGGTGATTTTACAGATTTTTTCTATAAAAAATGCCGTTTTGTGCTATTATCACTTGCAAAAAGCAAAGCAAAGTATTCAATCTAACTAATGCAAACATTTCCTTTCACTGGTAAGTACAATTTTAGTGCTAAAATATAAAAAACGTAATAATTTGACACAATGTTAAATAAAATATACATTGATTGCTCAAACCAACATCAATGTTTCTGACCCCATTACTAAACAGCAATGTAAATCATTTTGTGCACTTTTGCAAAAAATAGTGCTGTGCCTCCATTTGTCTGAAATGTACCGATAGGCTGCTGCTGCTCGGAATCGTATTGTTAATTATATGGATCGTAATCGATAACTAAAACATATTTATTTAGAGCTTTTCTTTCATCATTTCATAACAACGTTATCGATAAATATATGCCATAATTATATAAAACTAAAAAATACTGTTTACAAGGGAAAATTATAGATGAACTGATACTGAACAAATGAAATAATGAACTGTCCAGGCACTTTTTTTACGAAGATTCGGTTAATTATTTACACGCAGATAAATATTAAAAATTACTGATGTGCTATAAATATCTAAGTTACGAAGTATATCACCGTTTTATGAACAATACATCAATTAAACGAAACTTCGTGAAAAGCTAAGAGTTGGCCTAATAGGTCTTGTTAGAAACTGGTGAAACTGGATTTCACTTATTTTACATTACTTATATTTCAGTTTCCCTAATAACTTTACAACGGATTGCCTTGTTTACATAATTAATTTTGCCCTATCTGTTTTAGACCTAAACCTATCAAATGAATTTCAAAACAACATAATATCTATACAAACAAAAAATTATGTTTTCAACTAACGTAATATTGTTGGTGGTGTGAATTTAATTTACAAAATTAATTTTTAGGCGTCAATTTAATTTACCTTATTATGCTGATTCATAATCGGAAACTATTATTATAGAAATCGAGTTAAGAAAGCCACTTTAAAGAACCGCCCACAGAACAGCTTTTATCAGTTTTTTTGTTGCTTCATATTTGCACATAAGTTTATAGACGCATGTCTCAAACGGATGTGACTTTATATGTAGATTGACGTTTGTACGTACTTATCGCTTTTCTGTCTATCTTCAAACTTTTTTTGTCACGGCTTTCAAACTCATACTTGACCAGCAATTCCTTATTGTCCAGTCGTTGCAATTAATAATGTAGCTACTACTATTATTACAGATATAAAACTTAGAATAATAAAGTAAAACAAACATGGCTATGATCAATTTATTAGTGTAATGATCATATTAGTTATTATGAAATGAAATGAAAATATCTTTATTCAAGAAGGCTATTACAAGCACTTGGAATGGCAAGTTTATTTTTATTTCTACTTTTTTTGTGAAGGAATCGTAATGTTTTCTTGCGTACATAATATTTTCATTGATGTATTGAGAGGCAACAGTCAAAATATTTATTTCTTTAAATATTTCTCTGAGAGATTCTCTAGACCGTAAATTATATATAGCGTGGACAGCTCTCTTTTGTAGAATAAAAATATCTTGAATGCTAGCCGCAGAACCCCATAACAATAGATTATACGTCATTCATTACACTATGAAAATAACTAAAATATACCAATCTTGCCGTTTCAACATTTGTTAAGAGTCTAATTTTCTTAACAGCAAATGCTGCAGAACTCAGTCTACTTGACAAATTATCAATATACCAAAATACCAAGGAACTTTGTCGATTCCACCATCTCAACTTTTTCACTATTTACATTTATAAGTATATTAACATGCCTCACATTAGGTAATGCAAACTTTATGTATTTCGTTTTATTTGAATAAAGCTTTAAATAATTACTATCAAACCACTGTAAAAAATTGTCGAACTGAATTACATTGAACTGTTTCATGACAAAATTTAAAGCTCTTATTTTATCAACTAATATGTCACATCACTAATATGCACAATCGGAATGATACCAGTAAGAAAAAAATACAAATTTTTGTTTTTTTTTACACTTTCCGTCGCTTAATTATATTACTCCGCAGACATACGATAGAGTGTATCAATAAGTTTTCTTAGTTTTTGTACTGCGTTTTTTAAAAGATATTTTAATAAATTATGTAGGGAAAAGCCTTAATTTTTCAGTATTCACTTGGTTACAGCAAAATCTAATATTAATAGTTCGCACATAAAATGATGACCCCAATTTTTTTAAATGTGCATAATCTTAAAATATTTTTTCCTTCTGGTATCCCCATATACAGCCACGTGACAGTTCAACATTCATGTTAAAGTAAATTATTTATTATCACGTTGAATTAGAGTTTGTTTTTAATCGTGTGATTTCTTAGCTTAGTATCTTTTTGGGATTTGATTTATGTTATCGCGAACCTATCGCGTGGCGGTTTTTCATGTAGTGAACAAAATGATCATTTCATCTAATCTGTATTTGTGTGCGGAGAGGCGACACTCGGTTCCCATACTAAATTAATATCATTATACTTCTAATCTCTCTCTATGTTCTGTGATTATAGGTATGAAATTTGACAACAGCAATTTGTAACCCAGCGGCGTCAAACAATTTTGATTAAACGGTCCGTGTCTGTTTCGCGAACGAGAATAGATACAAGACTATTTGGAACGAAACATCAAACAATACTGTAACTTAATACAGCTATATAATAACTAATGACTTGAAAATTCATAATATATTCTTAATAAACTCACCTTCAAATATGACCCGTAGTATTTAGTGACGTATGGGCTGTCACACTGCGACAGCACCATGATTTCTTGTTGAATGTCCTCGATTTCATCTTCGGCTTCTTCGAGGTCTATTATCTTTATAGCGACCACTTGTTGGGTTCTGTTATCAACTCCTTTGAATACCTCGCCGAAGGAGCCCTTGCCGATCTTCTCCTGTTTTGTGAAGATCAGCTCCGGGTCGACCTTCTGAAAAAAGAAAATTTAATAATATAGTTTCTGCATAAATTAATTCACTCTCATCTGAAAGTGTTAAAAATAAGATAACTAATAAGTCGTATACAGTATGGACTTAACACAATATGCCAATATTTTGAAAAATTAAAGTTTCTGTATTAATATGAAAATATTTTCCAAAAATGGACTTGACGAGTCAAATCCATAACCCCAAATACAAAGCTGCATTTTAGGACAAGAGAAAAATTACACGTTACATATTAATCCTTTTCGAATCTAGTATATAAAATACAAATTTAGTACTCGTTATAAAATTGAATCTCAAAAAAATCTTAAATCCAAACCAAAGTATACTATATAAACAGTCAAATACAATGAAGCAGTGGCAAGTTAAAAATACAACGATGCCAAATTCCTAAATCCAAACCAAACTATACTATATGAACAGTCAAATTATTTAGTATTTTCCTAATTGATTTTATTCAAAGCGTGATATAAAACTATCAGAAAAATAATGTAATTCATCGATCGACATAAGAACTTCCTATGGGTTTTAATTTATTGAAATATGAAAAAAATATGTATTGTTAGCACAAATCATAAAATACTGAACGATACAATGGCTAAAAATATCGCAAACATCACTATCTCCACCTTATCGTGAGTATTTTATCGCCAAATGGTAATCCTAACCTTCACAATGGAATCCGATAAAATGGATTAGTATCAAACTACAGAGGTTTTAGTAAAAAATAATTATAATCAGATTATTTTGCGATGCTAAAAGCATTGTAATGTATTTGTATCATAAGAAAGATTTATGATTAGAACGAAAAATAGGTACGCATTAACTCGTTAGACGTTGATAATATATTCATAGGTTGCTGATTAAAGTTATGACAATATCTGATAAATGTTAAATTATACGCTTAAAGCACTTCCACCAAAGTAACATCATAAATATTTTCCCTGTATCATTGCGTGAACAAACTGCTAAAAAGAACAAGTAACTAGTTAAGTACATACTTGAAATAATGGTAAGTCATAGCACAGAGCAAATATTCCTACGTAGCTATACTCTCAGCGAAGGTTTCGCACGGACGACGATGACGGTTCTTTGTACAGACATTACATACGTGATGTTTTCCCAAACACACATTATATTATTACACATAAAGTTACATTCAGACATTATACTTCCAACGTGTGTTGTTTCCAAAGGAGATGAAAGCTGCCCCTTAAGGTAAAATCGACGAGACGAAATTAATACGCCCGTCAATAAAATATATGAAATAGGATGATGTAAAGCGCGAAATATAAAGTAAAATAAATCTCAATCCAAACTCTATGAATTGCTAGAAAATTCTCAATTTTCCCTTAGAAGGTTAATTTTTGAGGTAACTGTATATAGATAAAAAAATTATAAATACATGTATTGATCCAATCGATGCCCCTCGAAATTATGCTGTTTTCTTATTTTTATCATTTGGATATTACGATGGTGTTTAGTTCATGTGGCCTCTTAAAAGCCATCGTCATCAATCGATGCAATTTGGTTTATATGTTCTAACTTCCAATATCATGCAAGTAGGTAATATATTTTATTCATTTAGGCCAATATGCATAAATTAGTGTTGTATAAATAGAGTATATCTATTAAGTTTTGTGTTAAGAGGAGGCGTAAACTCAAAAAGACTCATATCTGACTACAACTGGCACATTTAATAACAACAATAAATAGAAAAACATTGTTATTTTAGGAGTAGTTGTGATACTTATTATAATTATAATTTTGATATTTCGACTAAGAAAATTATTAAACTCACATTTTGACCCCTTAGAAATATGGTGTGGTTGTAGTTTTGGTAATTTGGACGTCATTTCTTTATACAAAACCAGTTGAAAGTTGATGATTTTGTTGTACGCACCTTCTTAAATTTGGTATATCATTATTATATTTGATAAATTTCGCATTCACAATGCTATACTGCTTAAAAATCCGCTTTGTCCCTGGCACTATATCATGTCAGTGCGAACTCACATATAAATATGGCGTATAGTTAATTAGAGAAAATCAAACAATTATTATGATACTGGTGTTTATATGGATCTTTCGCTCCCTTGACATTCATACATGCTCTCTGATGTTTATGGCCACTGAAATCACCTTCCGCGACGATCATGACACGCGATCAATTTGCCTATAAAAAGGTGTATCATGTCTTGGTCTCCCCCAGCTTTATACTACTTAGGCGACAAAACATCATTTTCATAAGAACATATTAGTAGAACAGATATCTAATGTAGAATACAAAGACAATTTTGTGTAACAATAAGAAAAGTAATATCCCGAACGCGAGATGTCATAGTTGGGAGGTTGGGACAGAACGTGCCTCGACTACGGATGAGGTAGTTTCCGTGCATATTAAGATGAAAGTCTTTTATAATTGTAGTCAGTTCTTTCTAGTTGGCATATTGTTATTTTCTTATTGTATTATCTTCATAAATAACAGTGTTTACAAGGCTTTTTCAGATATTAAGATAATGTTTAAGTAGTAGAATTTATTCACGTCTCGATAAAATTTAATACGAGGGTCAAACTGAAAGTTCTTAGAACTGGCCACTTATAAACAATATAATAAAAAAATAATTCTAAAATTTGAAAATATAACTCTTTGCCAATATTACTGAGTATATATTTCATTCATTTGTCATTTGTTTTACGATTTGGCGGCAAATTGAAAATTGTCTGTGTCACGTCATCATGAATTTAACACGAGAAAATTTTCGTGCAATGATTTTTTATGACTTTCGATGTCATTTAAGTCAACAAGAAAGTTATGATAGACTACGATTGGCCTTTCACGATGAAGCCCCATCTCGTGCGACTGTTTACAACTAGTTTAATGAGTTTAAACGTGGTCGCACTAATCTCACTGATGATTTACGTGAGGGACGGCCTTCTACGGCGACGACTGAAGATAACATCTGTGTTGTGCGGCGTATGATAGAGACTGACAAAAGAGTGACCTATCAACAGATTCGGACAAGCTTAGGCATCGGTATGAGTCAAGTGCACAAAATCCTCCACGAACATTTAGCGGTCAGGAAGCTTTGCGCCCGGTGGATACCTCATAATTTGACTGAGGCTCAAAAACTCCATCGTGTGGATTGGTGTCGTAAAATGATTGAAAGATTTAACGGAGGTGACTCAAATGCTGTGTTCGACATACTAACAGGTGACGAAAGCTGGATTTACTGTTATGATCCTAAAACCAAAAGACAATCTGCTCAGTGGGTGTTTCCTTTCGAGGAGTTGCCAACTAAAGTGAAGAGAGATCGAAGTGCGGGAAAAAAAATGGTGGCCTCGTTCTTTGGAAGGATAGGTCATTTTGCAACAATTGTGTTAGAGGATCAAAAAACAGTTTCTGCAGAATGGTACACTACCAATTGTTTGCCACTTGTCTTGGAAAAAGTTCGAGAGAAACGACCTCGCAGTAGGATCCTCCTTCACCACGACAACGCCTCGTCGCACACCGCCAAGCGAACGATCGACTATTTGGCGACATCAAACGTTGAATTACTGGGTCACCCGCCGTATAGCCCCGACCTCGCGCCTTGTGATTTTTATTTATTTCCAAAAATTAAAGAAAAACTTAAAGGAAAGCGGTTTATGAATGCTGAAGAAGCGGTGGCTGCGTATCGCGATGCCATTGAAGAGACCCCTAAGGACGAGTGGGCAAAGTGCTTTTCCCAGTGGTTCCATCGCATGCAGCGGTGTATTGACGTGAATGGACAATATTTTGAAAAGATATAATAAAACTAATAACTGGCTAATGTAATCAGTTTTTGATTTTCTAAGAACTTTCAGTTTGACCCTCGTAATACCATATGAAAATTATTTTAGCAGAACATTCAACGATGCGTTCGATTCGGCCATCAAGGGCTGGATAATAAGGAAGGAAATAAACTGGCATCGTTATAATATAAAGGGCATAATAAAGCGAGAGGATCAACGCGGTGCGAACAAAAAGGCTTATTGACTTCCAGAAGCCAATTTTGCACGCTGAACCCATAAGAAGTGGCCAATATTTTACCTACATAAAGTTTTTCTATCTTATAAAATATATAAAATACAGACAGGTATTTTCTTTATCGAAGTCCCTATTGAGGCAGATTTTATTATACGAACAAAAATAAAATCCATGTTATTATTATTATTAGATAAACATTTCAAAGTTTATTCAGTCATTTTTTTCTATTTCTGTATTCCCCTGTAAATAATAAGACTGAAGGTATCCATTAAAACTTTTCATTTAACACTGTAACAGAAAATATAAAGTAGAATTTATGCGAAAAGTTGTTATAGCATATTAAAAAACGTTTGAACTTTTAAAAGAGCTATAAATTTTATTTTGAATAGATAAACAATTTCTTTAGTAATTTGGAGAGTGATAGACAATTTGCAAGCATCTTTGAAGGTGAATTTAGTTTAACCTTCATTGTACATATTTTATTAAAACGCAGAATCATGAAACAACAAAGTACACATTCAGTATTGATGTATATAAAGCAGTTATGAGGATAACTAAAGTAAAGCAAAAACAGCTCGTCAAAACAAGCATCATCTATATCTATAGCATTCATCTATTTTCAATGGCTCTTTATAACTAACTTAAATTTTGCAAATTAAAATTAAATTTTGTTTCATAGTGAAAATTGTTAAATATGTGTCCTTTTGCAACCAACAGCTGATGAACAGTTTTATAATACATATCGCACACCTAGATCTAAACTGAGACAACTCAAAAAAGTAATTTGGAGGTCTGACACTACATTTGTTTACGTTGCAGGAGCACGACCACTGTTGATTCAACAAAAGAAAGCTAAAGCTATTTTGCGGCTCTTCCCTGAACTTTTGATTGAATCTGTTATGTTGGATAGATGCGTATGATCACCGAGCATTTGAATATTGTACTAAGTCAAAACTCACTCCAATTTTTGAGTTGTCT